TTTATTTGTAAATCAAAGTTAACAACTGCTTTAATAGCGCGTACCGAGATTAATGGACACTATTTGCCATCAGTATTTTACTTACTTTTGAGTTGTTTCCAACAATCTCCAGCTTCTGACCACTTCGTGTGGCGCTGCGCACTTCACAGTATAACTTCCAGGTTAAAAAAAACAACTTCCGTTGCAGCCATTGTGTTGTGTTGCAGCTAATTTTGTAGCGTTGTGGTTAATTTTGTAGCGTTGTGGTTAATTTTGTAGCGTTGTGGCTAATTTTGTAGCGTTGTGGTTAATTTTGTAGCGTTGTGGCTTATTTTGTTGTTGCTTTTGTTTTGTTGTGACATTTCTGGGCCACCGTAAACACCTGCAGCGCATACAAGAAAGTGAGCTTTTATTTTGAAATTGTTGTGTCTTTAGTTGACAAGATGTCAGCGCAGACTTTCCTCAGAAGCTCAGTTCAATATAAATCAATGACCCGTTTTTGTGTCGCACACATCGTGTAAGAAATCTACGTAGACGACTGGTCTGTATTTACATTTGCACCAGTTTCATTGAGTACAGTGGAAGCACAAGGATGCAGCTGTTTCGAGAACAGTTTGCATACGTTACGATGCTTTAAAGCCATTTGAACCGTTGATTATCATAATAACATCTTGCTATGCTAAAAATGTTCACACTTATACAGTTATTTCTTCTTCTTTTGTTTGTTTTTTTTAAGGCTATTTTAGCAGCTGTTAGCTTTATTAGAATGATGTAGCACAGGGAGGCTACAGATGTGAGCTAACTTTTGCTAACCTTGTTTGCATCATGTTGAATAAAAGCGTACAGCCGAGCTAGCAGCTCTGAGTTCAGCATCTTAGCATGCTAATAATGTCTAATTAGCATAGAACACAAAGGATTACTGGATCGTTGTGAGTTTTTCAGGCTTGACAGCAGAAACAATAGAAGCTTGAGGAAACGTCAGCTCATGGTCTTGAAGTTAAACTGTGTGGGAGACGTGAATGTCTGGAGTGAATTTGGTGGAAATCCAAGCAGATGTTGAGGTTGTTCATCGTACATCTCCTTAAGGCACTACAGGAAAAGTCAGGGGATGATTAGACGTCATCCTCAGGGGACAACGAACATCTGCACAAACCTCCACACGAATCCAGCTTCAGTCTGGGATGACGGGGTGGACGAAGACATCGATGGTGTAGTTTTCATCATTTCTTGATCAGAATCAGTTAAATGAGTCTGCAAAGCCTCAGACGAGGGCTTGAACAAGGACTTCAGAGCTAGTTTCTGAAGAAGTGCTGAAGGATTTGTGAATGGCAGCGTTTAAAAAAACAGAACTAATGACAAAATAGAATTTTTTATTATTCGGAAACAGTTAAATCATCACATTTGCCGTCTACCAGGACTGAGTGTTAGAACCGATTAGAACCTGAGAGGTAAACCGAGCTCTCTGGATTTACACTATCCTCTCTTTAAACTTATCTACCACGTTTCAAACGTTTCCTTTTTAAATGTTTTTTCTTCCATAATCGGGAGGCTGACGCATTAAAAACGTTAGCGCCTCCGAGTGCAGCTCTCTGTCAGAACACACGGCTCAGCATCTGAGGAACTGCCTTCTGATTTATGTAGATCTCATATTAAAGCGCCGCTGTGAAGCAGACCTCATGTTTTATTCACGGCGGCAACCATGTGTGGGGTTGTATGTGCTGTGTGTATATATATATATATATGAATGTATTTGTGTGTCGCACTCTGTAGCGTCTGACTCATCAAATGAACGCTGAGCAGAGAGAGAACAGTGAGAACATCAAAGAACGTGGTGAGATAAGAGTCGCTTAAAGCTCATTTTCAGGACTTTTGGAGACACAGCAGCTCCGCAGACGTGGATTCGTGTCGGAATAACGAGACCGACATCTTTGGTCTGGGCACAGATTTTAAAATGAACGTGACGTCAAGTTCACGGAGCCTCAAACGCCACATTAGAGATACGTTCTGACACGGAACAGATGACTTGTTGAGGCTGTTTGCAAACTTAATCACTAACGTTTTTATTTACTTTGCATTTTACCTCCCTGCCTGTCTTTGTTTCATTTGTTCTTTTCACTTGACGTTGTTTTTTTTTTTGTTGTTGTTGTTTTTTTTAAATAAAGTTTTCACAACATTCAGCGCATGAATGTACCCTCTGAATCTCCGGTTTAAAATCTCTACAAAATCATTAAAATCACACCATTTATCAGAGTAAGCGACTGCAAAAACAGAGAGAATCATTGGATTGTGAAGCTTATCACTGTCTTTAAACTGCTCTCGGAAACTTACCCAGATCTCAGCTTGGAATCGGGATATTTCAGCACAATAATTATCGTTTTGTTATTTTCATTATGTCACTTTTTTTTTTTTTTTTTTTTTTTTAATTGCTAAATATAAACCACTGGCTCCAACCAAATTCTGTAAAAAACTAAAAATTCTGCACTTGCTGGTGAATCCATGAAGCTTTTAGTGACTCGGCTACGATTAACAGTCACATGACAAAAATTCCAGAAGTTTCCGGCTGAACTGCAGGCTGTGCACATGTATTGCATGTGTTGTATTTTATGGTTTTTTTTGTTTTTTGTTTTTTTTTAAAAATGAATTGGTAACACTTGTGGACACTTGGGAAAATGCTGTACATGCTGATTTATTTTTTTATTTTGTATCTTTTTAATGTTATTTTTGTAAAAAGGTTCAACGCTTCTAAAAATATGCCACCAGAAAGGTTAAATCTGTGCTGACGTTTTTAGTATCTGCTGTTGAACCTGCACAAGTTTCCTGCATCAGGCTCCTGGAATCAGTTTGACATGAACATGAAGTTGTTCATACGTTTGATTTGTTGACGAGGAACTCATGAGGAGATCTGTGCAGGAAAATAATAACGAGTAATGATGCAAACACCGAACAAAGAAGCAAGAGAGAAACCAGACGATTGTCTCCATGAACTAAATCTGTGGGAAGTTTGGTGCGAAACAGCAGCTCGGCTTCAACAACACAGAGAAGTAAATGCAAACGAGCGTATTGTGTAATTCTCGGTTAAGATTCGTCTCCGAGCGCCGAGCGTTGTTTCTGTTTGATGTAACGGTGGAGAACGGCGAAGCTCTGAGAAAAGCAGGAGGGCGACAGTTCTGGAGTTTTTCTCCTTCAGATCTGGTTCTGTTCTGCTAAACGCTCTCGGAGGGAAGACAACAAATCCTGTTGTTTTTAGTTTTGTTTTTGTATTTTTTTACAGGAGCAAATCGTAAAGTCGGTTCCTGCAGCTGATCAGAAGCAGTGATTCCAATGTGCTGCTTCCTCAGAAACACAACCAGAAGTCAAACCTTCTGCACAAACACACAACCAACAACCACAGAGCCACGATGTGCAATCAACACGCAGCCAGTAAGGAAACGCAGCAAACACATCTGTCATAAATACAACATGAACAACAGCGTAAACGGGCAGCAGGAGCGTCAGAGGTGGAGATTTAATGAATTTTGCAGGAAAATCTGAGCAGGTCGACTCAAACATCCATCATTCATGTGTTCATGGAATCACAGAGTATTCACATAGAGAAACAGATTTAGGATGAAAACTTTATCTGCTCATACGGAGTTCTAATCAGATGCTGTTTTTCTCAATAAGTACAATAAAGTTACTAAAATTAATCCACTTTATGTGCTTGACAACTAAATGGCAGAAAAAATACAGAAAAACTTCATTTCTGTATTCAAGCTGTCTGTTAATGTTAAAACAATAAAACTTTTTAAACTCATTTTAACTGTATTTAATTGTGCAATTTTTTTTATTTTCCAAATTTTCCCAATTTTGGTAAATCACAGTCAATATCCACTAAAATCAGTGAATAATTGCTTTAAATTTATGAGCTAAAAGTAAAAAAGAGACGACATGTCCATCAAAAATCTGTAGATGGTAGTTTGTTCTATATGTTAAAGGATTTAAATCAGAAAAAAACAACAACAATAAGATTATTTTATGGATAATAACTAGTAAAGTTGGTTTAAAAATAAAGCATTTTACATGCTAGCTGTAAAACAAACAGGCCAAAACTGTGCATAATATCCTCATTAAAATAAATCTAGTTTTATAAATAATGATTTTATTCTTATATAACATTTGCTTGTAAACACTTTTTTGTTGCATTTAAATCAGCTAAAAAAAATGTTGTGACTTGTTTTTTGTTTGTTTTTTGTTTTACAAATATTTGGTAAATTGTGAGTAAATCGGTGCAAGTTAAGGATTTAAAAATTGCAAATAGTCATAATAAATAGAAATACTAAAATATTAATTTAAAGTGCTGTTTTACAGATTATATAAATACATATATTATGTTTGAAAAAGTATTCATGTACATGTGGACTGAGAAAACTCTGACTAAAATAATGTTTGCACTTAAAAAAAAAATCTGTATTTTTACAAAAAAAAAAAAAAAAAAGTTATTTTATGGTGTGGCTGCAAGACGACAAATAAGGCTAAAAAAAACCAGGATTATTTTACAGATTTTTTGTCGTTATTTTCACTTGTAATTTATTTTACAGTTTTTAATGTTACAACATTTTCAACACATATTGATTTATTTTAATTTATTTTTCTACATATTACAAAATGATGCTGCCTGATTTTATTTATTTGTTTATTTTTAATTTTTTAAAGTGTCATGAACTGTGTTGCACCGCCTCCTAAAATACTTATTAGAAAATATTAAAAGAAGCCTTTATTTTCCAATGTAATATATTTTAGCCAAGTTCGGTATAATTTTCTTCCACACTCCAGCCCAGCAGGTGGCGGTAGTGCACCTCCACACTGGTTTGCAAACTACCAATTAAACCAAATAAAAGAACTGCGCTTGAAAGCCTCTATGAAACCTTTACGAGGTTGTTGCTTGTTAAAACAGACGTCAGATCATCGAACAAAAAACACAAAGATCACAAGACACATGTTACCAGCAGCAGAAGAAGAAGAAGAAGAAGAAGTGGACTTACTATGGTGAAGTTCATGACCTTTAGGATCCAGATAGTTAGAGCCAAGTTGATCAGGATCAGGATCATCAGCAGCAGGACGAAGAAGTAAAGGCAGCGTTTCCTCCAGCCGTATATTCCCACTTTGTAAACTTGTGGTTTCTCTGAACTCTGGACATTGTTCCTATGAGTGCACTGTTCCTGGGTCATCTGGGAGGAAACACAGAAGAAGAAGAAGAAGAAACTCGTGATTACGGCTGCAGGCCACTCTCGCCGCTAACAAGCTCGTCTGTCCGTTTGCACTCAGGGCCGTCTGAGCAGTAGTTTTATTGGCCTGGAGGACGCTGCGGAGGCCGGAGCTGCATTTATCGACGTTTTAGCCGTTGATGCAAACACAGAATTGACATGTTATCGTCTCGCTCGGCTCCTCCAGACAACAGGCCCGCATTCATCACGCTGCAATAATCGCTTCACTTTTGGCTCCGGTTTGGTCTCCCGAGAGGAAACATCTGCACGTTTAGCTGCTCAGCGTCCCACATCGAGAGAACACAGGAAAATGACCTGAAGATGAACGGTTGAGACGACGTTACCACAAAGAACGTCCCATAAACATTCCTCTCACATGCTCCGAGTTGAGCCACTGACCAGCCACTCAGCTCTGGCACAATGAAAGACAGTTTAGTTAGCGATTGCATTGATTGATTAGCCCATAAGTGGTCTATAACTCCATTATACCCCCTCTGCCCCGCTGATGCGCCGATAGTGGCGATTAATGATGATTCTAATTGTCCGCCTGTGAAGACGAGGAGGCATTGTTCACTTCTAGCGCCATAATAATGGCCTAATAACTCTGTGGAAAAATACAATTTACTGTCCGCCGCGCTCGGGAGTGCGCGCCTCACCCCACCGGAGCCAATCGCTTTTGACAACCGCACACATTAGCCGCTAACTGAAACAAATGGCACAAGACAGCGGCCCCGGTGAGGAAGCGATGAAAGCTGCAGAGGAGAGGCCGAAACACCGGTCAGAAAAAACAAAACAACAACAAAAAAACCAAAAACGGGGAGAAAATCTCATCGTGTACGCTCAGATTTTTTATTTTGGTTTGACGGGTGGAAGAGGAGGAGGAGGAGGATGCAGAGATGTGACAAGAGATGTTTGGGATGTTTGGGATGATAGAAGACGAGAATAAACACTGAGAGTCAGTGAAGCGAAAGGAAAAAATTTAAAAAGGCACAAAACTGTCATAGAAATTGACCTCCTGGTTTTCTGGTGATAAAATTGAAACAGACAAAGAAAAAACAAACAAACAAACAAAAAAAAAACGGGGTCATCTGGAGGCTACGCTGTGAAAAATGAATATTATTAAGCGTCATTTTTGGAAAAATGTGTTGTTATTTTACAGATTGTCCTTTTTTTTCATAAATAATAACAATCATAATAATAATAATAAAAAAACTTTATCTATCGAGAACTTTTCAAAGCAAATGTTACAAAGTGCTTTCCAATAAAAACGAAATAAAAATTAAAATACAATAAGCACACGGAATTATTGATAAAAGTAAAAAGCACACAAATAGAGCAAGAAGCTGTAAAACATAAAACTTAGATGAAATCAGGAAAAGCTCTCCGATAAAATCGTGTTGTAAGAAGTGACTTAAAAGAGAATTAAATTACAGATAATAACTTGTTAAATCACAGAAAATAAGTATTCATTTACATGTTAACGATAAAAACAGGGCAAAACTGTAAATAACATCCACATCAAAGATCTGTATTCTTTACTACTAGTGCTAATTCATTCTTTTACAGGGTTTGACCTTCATTTTTTTATTTTACTATTTATTTATTATTGCTGTATATTATTTTAAGTTACAGATTTTTCCATTATTTAAAAGAAAAATGGCACATTAAGGATCGGAAAAGGGTACATCTGTTTTTTTCTACAGTTGTTTTCCATTTTTTTTTCAGTTTTATTAAATCCCAGATAATAACTTGTAAAATCACACAAAAAAGATTCATTAACTTACATTTACAATGTACAAAAAATGTAAATTAGCAGAAAATATTGTTATTCATGTAATTTAAAAGGAAAATAATGCATATGAAGTGTTCTGTAAAAACTGTCCCGTTTTCTTACATTTAATTAGTTTAATTAATGTTTAATCAATTTAATTTATTATTTTTTATTTATTTAACTCATGAATTAATTTTAACTAAACATCCAGCAAAATCACAGAAAATACTCATTATTTACATGCTGACTGTCAAACACAAAAAACAAAAAACAAAAAAAACAAAAACAGGCCAAAGCTGCACCTCGTTGACATTAATTTACTGAATTTAATTTTTAAATATTGTTTTGTAACAGATATCTGCAGCTAGTTGTTGACATCTTTACTCCATGGACTTAAATATCATCAGAAAAAGAACTCAGACCAAATTATTCACATTTCAGAGAGCTTGAACTTCTTTTTTTAAATAATCAAACCGATAATCAGAATAGTTTGGAGATAATTGTAATAGCTGAGTATTAATCAATCATCTGATTGGTTGTTGCAGCTCCTGTTTCAAAGTGAACTTTACTGTCAGTGTGTCTGCATGTGCAGAGCAGACACAGAAACCCAAACGTAGTCGCTTCGAGTCCCACAGTGTGCAAAAAACAAAAATAAAAACGCACATAAAGATTAAAAATACTCAATCTAAAAACGTGCCTGCATGTATGTGCATGCTTTGGGGGTAAAGATGAGCCTGTCTGAGGCGTCGTTGCACCTCTGGGTGACTCCATGGTGCTCTTTCAGGGTCTTATTGATGCCTGCGACTCGTCTGCTGCTCCAGACTTCAGCGCGTCGCTTCACAGAAACATGTGTTGGAGTCTCGCAGCGAACCAGAAGGACTCGGTGGCTCCAGCTGAGCGTTCAGCTCCGACTTATTCAAACACAAACACGACAAACAGCTGCACGAAGCCCGAACGCTGCTGCGGCTGTTTGATCAGCTCGGCGCTGAAATCCTCTCAGATTAATAGCACGTCTCCTCCCCGTCTGTCTCCGGGACCGAAGCAGCAAAGACCTTCCAGCGGCGCAGAGTCACGGTGCAGACGAGGCGTCCAATCAGAGCCGCTCTGACGCCCGATTAGACTGACAGGCAGCTTTTCCATTTCCTTTCTCTAGATGAGTTTGTTTTTTTGTTCCTCCTTGTTCACAGATAACTGCCCTGAACACTGATACCAGAAGAAAACTTCAAAATGAAACTGATGATGTCAGAAACATTCGGTCCAGAACGCCGACGGTGGCGAGAAAATAGAAAAGATGTGAAGAATAAAGTTCTGGAGAGCGGCGCTGGTCAGTTCACCAAAATGTGAAGAGAACATGTAGGTTTTCTAAACGTTTTCTAATTCACCAAATCCTTCCAAGATTCAGTACAAACACAAACTTCTTACAAAGAGAGTAAAAACTGTAAAAATCTGATGATTATTGGAGTCAAACATGAACGACGGCTGACAGTGTGAAAAAGGAGACTTAAAACAAACACAAATGAGACCAAACAACACAAACAAGACATAAAAAATGGACTCTTAACGCAAACTAAAAGCAAAACACAAAACTATAAAAATGTAATGAAAAACACAGACGAGACACCAAGCGACACAAATGAAACAAAAAACGTCAAAAGAGACAAATGAGACACAAAAAGACACAAAACAACACAAATGAGATGAAACAAAAGCGAATTGAGACACAAAAACCAAACATAAACTGACACTAAGGGACACAATATAACAGAAATGAGACACAATAAGACACGAACAGGACACAAATGACAAAAAAACCTGTCACAAAACAACACTAGCACGACACAAATGAAACAAAAACATCAAAAAAAGAGACAAAATGACACAAATGAGACACAAAAACAATAAAAGCATAACAAAAAATGACACTAGGAGACACCATGTGATGTTAACCACACATGAACGGGAAAAACCCCGAAAAAAGACAAAACCAGGACACAAAACAATACAAATAATACACAAAATGGCACAAAGGAGACACAAGCCAGACGCGAAAAAACACAAAACGACAAAGAAAGACTCATAACAAAAGAAATGAGACACAAAAAGACACAAATGAGAAACAAAATGACCAAAAAAAAAGACTCAAATCACCAAAACTAGGCTCATAACAACACAAACCAGATGCACAACACAAAAATGACTCTTATAACAACACAAATGAGACAAACTAGTAAAAACAGGACACAAATAAGACAATGATGACGGAAAAAAACGACAAAAATGGGACAAATAACAGCAGTGAGACACAAACAAAATGAAAAAAGACACAAATTGAGACTGAAAATGAGCAGAACTGAGACACAACGCGACAAAGACGAGTCCACTCAGATGAACTGGGACCAGTGTAACGCTCACCATTAAAACATCAGGTCACAGTGGAACAAAAAAGGCTTTTAAATCGACTTCAACGGAGTCAAAGAGCTTTTGTGTCGCCCAAAACAAAAGTGGAATAAAGTGACGAGGAAGACGTCCTTGAAGACAGAGAAGCTGCCAACGTCTCCAGGTGTTGAGCGTCAGAGTGAAGCTGATGCTGATGCCGAGGCCGGCAGCAGGGACGCTTCCAGGACGGCACCAGGCTACACCACAAGCATTTATCTGCAGCTTTGAGCTTCTGACAGGACGGAGCTTTAACGAGAAGCTCCTCTACGACGGCGGCGCTGCCCTGATCTCACTCCAACGCCAATCTGATGCTAGCGACATGTTTTAATCCTGCAGGTACGATACAAACCCGCCGATAAGACAAAGCACATCACAGACCTCCAACGTTTACTCATGATGAGCTCACAGGCTTCTGTAGTGACCCTCTGACCAACAAAACCAGGTTTCAAAGGTACGTTATCCGCAAAAAAATCACCAAAATTACATCACTTATAGGAGCTAAAACCTTTAAAAACAGAAATAATGGCTAGTTTTGACATTTCAGATGGTCCTCGAATCAACCACGAGTGATGTATGGTTTCATCGCAACAATAACCCAACTTTTAATGATATGGGATCTGTAAAAATCACCAAAATTACACAATTTTTCAGAGTCAAACACATTAACAATAGAAAAAAATGGCTGATTTTCAACTTTCAAATGGTCCTCGAAGTAACCATGTGTGATGTCCAGTTTCATTAGGAAAATTAGCTAAGT